TTTCGCGTTTTACTGATTATTGATTGGTTACGCGGTTACGCGATACGCGGCAAACACGCTTCATGGGACTCCACCCTAAGGGTGATGTCCCATGAGCGTATCGCGTAACTGCGTAACCAATCAGAAGTGATCCATTATTGTGGTTTCGCATTTTAATGATTATTGATTGGTTACGCGATTACGCGATATGCGGTAAATACACCTCATGGGACTCCAGCCTGAATCGTGAGACACGCGTTCACACAATATCCGATTGTGCATCGTGACAGAAGTTGAAATATGCGATATGTTACAAGAAATAAGTTTACCTTGTTTTAGTTTACCCGATATGCCATAAAAATTTATATCGATGTAATATAATTATTATAAGACTCATGTGGTTGTGTGCAAAATTAATCACGTAATGTGCATTTTGTTTAAAAAGATTATATTACCAAAGATACTTACATAATAATGTAATTATAATTTACGCTTTGATATGCAGGTCAAATTATCGAATATGTTGATTTCGTTTTAAAAGATATATAATTCGAAGATTTATGTAAATGTTATAGGTTGAAAAACGAGTATAGGAACTTGTAATCGCACAATGTGTTTATTTTATTACAAAAGTTTATTGTCAAAGATTGTAAATGGTATAATACTCATGAAAATATATGCAAAAAATGAAGTTTCGTTGTATAATTGAAATGATCATTGTTTTCCTTATTATTATTTTTTTTAGTTAAAAGTTCGAAGATTTTGGCGATTTTGTTGGCGAAAAGTCACAAAAATCTGGCGATTTTGTAACGAGATTTCACTAGAATCTAGGGGGCGATATCGGCTCGGGTTTTGGTCTGTTTTCTGTTCCTGCACAGACTGTTCTAGAACTTTCTTTCTCACTTTCGACAAATATCAAACGTATGTCTATCTCACTTTAAGTTCCTAAAGTGTACACTAGTTCAACCACAGAAAACAGACCTGGAGCTGTATTCTTGAAAATAAACCCAGGGGCTCTATTTTTGAAAAGAAACGTATACGAAAATCTAGGGAAATGCTACAGTATACGTTACGTATACTATAGTATTTCTCTAGACTTTCGTATACGTTTATTTTCAAGAATACAGCTCCTGTTATCTGGCAACGCTGTGTGGTTGGGGTATAACCTAATACCTATACAGATTTTTGTTTACTATATCCGACTGTATCCTTCATCAGTTAGTGGAAGACAGGCAAAATATTGTTTACTGATTTGATATAAACTTGATATAACTAAGTGATAAGTTTATTTAATACTTTCTCAAAAATTTAAATTGAATTATATATTTATAATATTATTTCAATTAATGGTTAACCATGTTTTACCATGTAAGTTAATTTCATATCATATATTCTGTACAATTCTACTATTAATTAGTCAAATTCAAAAGAACAAAATTAAGTGCTTTTTAATTTTTTAAATACAGATTTCTTTAGAACATGAGATTTTGTTACATCCTCGATACTTTGGTCCCCAATTACTCGACACTGTAAAACAAAAACTCTATACAGAGGTAGAAGGGACTTGTACAGGAAAGTGAGTATCTTTTATATATTTTAGTATTAAACATTCCGAAACCTTAAGTTATATTAACTTTATAAACTTTTTCAGATATGGCTTTGTCGTAGCCGTGACGACAATTGATAATATAGGAGCTGGTATTATACAACCAGGACAAGGTTTTGTAGTATATCCAGTCAAGTATAAAGCAATTGTATTTAGGCCATTCAAGGGTGAAGTGCTAGACGCGATCGTGACTCAAGTGAATAAGGTACAAATAGATGTTTTTTCAAGAGTATAGAATGATCTGTTTAAACATTCGTTCTTTTCTTTTTCTGTTTTACATTAGGCCTCTGGCCTATGTTAACCTCTCTCATATATATGTGATGTGCACACTAATTATTCAATTGCCACGAGCATATAGGACCTACAGTTTTAAATATTGGTTTTGAACAATGAATTTTTGAGAGGCGTTTCTATGGGCAAGGATATTTTCAGGAGGTTGCCGGTCTTTTCTGAGAGGAGACACGAGTATAAATATTTTGGTTCCTACTGGAATCGAATCCAGGACCTCTGGCATGATAGATTAATATGCTATCTGCCATGCCATGCTCGCGTTCAACATTCGTTCATTGTTAAACAATTTGATGTCTTATGATTGTCATATTTACAGGTTGGAATGTTTGCTGAAATAGGTCCACTTTCATGCTTTATATCTCATCACGTAAGTAATTGTAACAATTATGAAATATAGTAATTAAGTATGTGTTACATATATGACAAATATATAAATTTAAATTCCTGTAGTCAATCCCAGAAGATATGCAGTTTTGTCCGAATGTGAATCCAGCCTGTTACAAATCAAAAGAAGAAGTAAGTCATGTTATAAAACGTTGCTGATTGCAACAAAAATTTTGTAATTGTGATAGTAATAAATTCAAACATATCTTTCAGGATGTAGTTATTCAAGCAGATGACGAAATTAGACTGAAAATTGTGGGCACAAGAGTTGATGCCACGGGAATTGTAAGTTATATTAACACTAAATCTTTTCGTTTTACATCAATTTACATACATATTCAATTTTTTATTTTAGTTTGCTATTGGCACGTTAATGGACGATTACTTAGGTAACAGGATATTTAACGTTATTATTTTGCAAGGCATTTAAACGATACATTTATAATTTGTTTTTCCCTTTTTAGGCCTCGTATGCAACTAGCATGGCTACAATCTGTCTTATTTAAAAATATTTATTAGTTTATCTGAATATGTTTTATATTTTGAAAACAATACAAGTGTTTTAAAATACTTCCTATTTTTTTATAAGCATGTAAGATCGATGTAATCAATCCGACAAAAAGATATGAAAATATAATAATAGTATATAAAACCATATTTAGATAGAACGGTAACAATTTAGACATTTTTTATATAATTGTCAAAATAATTAATTAAAACAACTCTCAAAGAAATTATAAATTGTGATAGATAATGTAATATTTATAAAATAAAATTAAGTACAATATATATATAAAACATTAATGATATCTTACATGTTATTAACAATCCATAGAGGCAAAACAAATATACATAGCCTCATTACCTCTGGTAAACAATTGTCTCATTTTCCAACATTTTTTAAATATACTGCAATATAATTGTCATATCTTTTTGCGGAAACACTAATGCAAAATTATATGGACATTGCTATTACTAAGCAATTAAAAAATCAGATATAGGTAGTTTATAATCAAAATTATAAAGATACTGTTTAGGTAATATACATCTTTTTTAATTCACATATTTCTTATTTACTACCAATCATCGTTTCATAAGGATTTGCAATGAAATTGATACTCCAGCAACATGCGAAATCACTGACTCGTGGAAAAAGTATTCTTTTTCTGTTCGTTGTGACGATTTGAATAAAATCGTATAATTCCATCAGCCGGCAGTAATTACAACGGTATTCAATTCATAGAATTTTCGTTGCTACCAAACATGTTTGCAAGATTTGTAAATAGCGCTAATTTCGGTGCGATACGTAGGTCTTCCTTTTTTGTGACTGTATCTTGATCGGGCATCATCTTGTCCGCAATATGCTTATAGACTTTGCCGTTAGCATTAACATAAAAAGTAGAAAAGCCATCGTACCATCTGAAATAGTTCCCATACATATTATTTTCATAGTTTCTATAAGAAAAATCAGTTGAAGGGAATTTAAATATTTTACTTTTTCTCGAAGATAGAATAAAAAAATTTCTAATACGGAATTAGAAAAGTAAAATTCTTTTCAAATACAGTAAAAACTTCAATTAATTGGAATTAATGTTTACGAGAATTTATGACAATTTATTACAATTATGTTTTTGTTAACATGAATTTTGTAATACAGATGACACTTACACATCGTGATTGGTATTTATGGCATCTTGTATTCTCCAAAATTTATACTTCCAAAACATAGTAAACACCTTCCAGCCCGTGATACCTCGTATACGCCAACGAACCTGTACGGTATCGCTTTCAGGATGCATTGTTATCTTTATGATATCTAATTTGACATATGCAAACTTCATGTGACCAACCATCCTAAGCAGTATTATCTGTTTAACATAATTATTAAGCCCCCTGCAATAATATTTTAATAGATATATGAAGAAATAGAAATATTTAAAATGTTAGATATTCCTTATTGTTTTAGAAATTATTACATAAATTAATTTATGTAATCAAATTAATTTACCTTGTTGTTACTCCTCTAATATTGTTGATAAAAACTAGATCATCAGTATATATCGAAACGTTTAAAGGTTTCGCAAACAGCTTTGGTAACTACAAACAATATTTCAATCAGAAAATAATAATTTAACCCAGAGAATTGTCTAGCATAAGAGAATCTCTTATCCTAGACAACTATGCCTCAGAAAATTGTCTCAGAATTATTGTACTTCGTTTCTGAAAGATCGTGATTGTAAGTTTGAATGCAAATTAATGAAAGTGCAATAATTCTGAAATATCCTGTAAATTACATGACATACATCTTGACTAAGACAATCGATTATGGATTGCAGTTGTTCCTGCGATGGTTTACCCTCGTTTTCTTGTGGTGACTGTTGCGAGCTCATTTTTAGAGTATTACTTGTATCAGCAGAAATAAATAAGATATTTTTATCAATATTTATTTCTTGACTATTGTGTAAACTTTCTAAAGAAATCATCCTATTATTATATAGAAATGAATTATCGTTATCATTTCCTATAACACTTTGTGCCTGAAACATTTTAACATTGTTTGACATGATTCCTATAGGAGCTACGTAATTCCTGTCTTTCAAGAAGGCAATACTGAGTCTCTGTGACTTGTGCAGCCTGCGCGGGCTTTGGACCCAATACATCATTGTATTCTTGCTTTCATCGTCAGAGTATCGTTTGGCTAGCTTTTTATTCCATTGATTGTGAATGTCAACATAAGCCAATGATAAATTTGGAGGAAATGTACATCCCGTAAAAGGTACCAACTTTTCTGTGGTGTTTGCTCTTACAGACAGTGTTCTCTGTGTACCCAAGAACTGAAAATTTATAGATATAGTAAGATTCTACAACAGTATGTAGTTGTAAGAAGCTATAACATAAAAGATTATAAATTAGTAATTATTCAGATTAAAATATAAATAACAGTAGTTCTATATACAGAATGTCTCACAACTACTGCATTTCCTCTTAAGAATGTATTCTTGAGGTAATTTTGAGACAAAAATTTAATACAAAAATGTCGAGGTTACAATAGTTTTTTAATTATAATTGGTTAAAGATAGTTTGTAATTCAAAAACTATTATAGCTTCGATATTTTCATATTAGGATTTTAATCTTAGAATATTCGAAAGAATCCAGAAATAATAATAGAGGCTATAAAAGTAAAATGGTTTTTTACTTATAAGCTTTAAAGTTAGCTTATAATTTAAAAAATTATTGTAGTTTTGACATTTTCATATTAGGATCTTCGTCTCAAAATTACCTCAAGGATATATCCTTAAGAGGAAATGTGATAGTTGTAAGACACATATTGTAAGACTCATATATATATATATATATATATGAGTGTGTTAGATTTATTAGCACTTATGTTATAATGATTTCTATTTTTACTTAGAACACAACTTAAGCTTAGTTCGTAGTTTAGTCATCTGTTAGAGGCCTATTACCATAAATCTACGAACAATCATTTCTTGCATTTTTACCACAGAAAAATTCGCTTCGAATAAGTCTATAATTGAAAGAAAAAATGCGTGATATTTTCGGAACATTCTGTATACCACATCAACAAACAGTCCGATGTGTACATATAAAACATTTTTATTTTTGCGACAACGTGACGTGCGATGTCTGTCATCAAATCACTCTAATCATCACGACTTAACAAGAATCGGAGATTCGAATTTCGCCGCTGTCGCAAAAATTACAACAAAAATTCGTGTTCTGTGAATCGGCGAGTTTCAACGTCGTCGTCGCTACGGAGTCACGCGATTATGTAAGCATTTGGAGGTTAGGACAGTCAGTCGCTGGCAGGTATTGTCTATACGCTGCGACACGAGACTTGTCAAACGGAATCGATCACGCACACGACGCACCTGCTTCAGGAAGGCGGACGACTCGATGTTCTTCTGTAGCTGATTACGGTCGAGTTTTGACGGCGTTTTTCGGCCGCTGCCGCCGCTTACGAGCGACGACAGCCGCCCGGGCAACGTGCGAAAGCACAAAGACATGTTACGCGATCACGCGTGACGACAGCTTATTCAGATCAACGACATAATACTCCACGACGGCCCGCAAAAACAATGCAACACGGTGTGTCAAGTCACTGTTAACTACTATATGTGATCTACACGCGTGGTGCCTCTCAACACGGTCTTGCGCGGTCCGCAGTTACCTTTCCGGCTCCGGCTGTTTCCGGTTCGAAGAATTTGGACACGTTCTTGTGCGCTTCACGAAATAGCACTTTAACAAGGTAGCGCCTAAAGTCACTAGTCACTAGTCATCTAGTGACTTTAATAGCGCCAAATATACATATTTTTAAAATAGCTCGAAATTCGTTGTATATTATATTTTTTTATTTTACATAGCTGTGAAATTTTATGTAAATTTCTGATAATGAAATAAAATCGCGGGCGCGAATATAAAACATCGTCCCGCACTAAATCTATAATTTATTTAATATTTGATAACATGTTTATGTATATCTATATGTTACAAATCTGTTAAAAAAATGCGAAATTAATTTGTAAAAGTCGATGAAAATATAATATTATAAATTTTGTAGATTAAATCATAATAGAGCAAATATTAGCCGATTATTTTCTTAGAGATTATAACACAATATTTGTATATTAATACTTTATTTATTGACAATTTTTTTATTGACATTTATTGTAAATCAAGAACGAATAACACCCAACATTGTTGAATTTTAGTATAAATAAAATGTATAGTGTAATAAAACTCAATGATTAATTTCCTATATTCCTTCATCTCAAAATAATTATTTTACATGTATCATATTCTAAGACTTAATTTTATCTCTTATAATTCCGTAACATAATAACATTTATAAGTACATATTATGAAAATTTTGTTCCCAATGAACTTAATTCTCATTAATAATATGTACATACATGCACATAGATAAATCATTCTTGACTCAATTTACATTTATTTTTAATAAATATGTAATTAAATATCTTCTTCACGCATTAAGTTTTAAAACCGACTGAATTTTATATATCTATGCACTCTATTTTACATACTATTTTATATCTATACTAAGTTTAAATGCTGATATCACTCATTTCAGATCTTAAATCAGACTTTCTAATTTATTTTATAAATTTTATCTTTCCTAAAGAATTCTTTCTAAAAATAACACTTATATTAACCAATTCAACGCTCTTACGTTCTAATATCTAATTTAACTATCTTAACATTTAACGGAAAACAGTATCTCCATTCTATAATTCATCTTTGCATCATATTTTCTTCGTTTTTTTCTTTTTCATTTTCAACTTTTCTAAGCATACAAGATTTGCTTCAAAATGAGAGATTATGGTCTTTCATATTAATCTATAATACCATTTAAATGTTTCTAAATATACTATACTATTTGCTATAATTATTCTTCACCGAGGCTCAATTTTTGTTTTATTTCCAATGCGAGCTTGTAACCGAGTTCCGGTCGTCGGTCTCTTCCTTCCACCATAGCCTTCACCTGGCTGGAGTTCACTATCACGCCATTGCTGCCTATTACGGTGGCCTTGGTCTTCTCGATGTCGACGAGGTCCACGCCACGACTGCAGTCATCGATCAGTATAGTGCGATAACCACTGGTGAGCGCATCCACTGCAGTAGCGCCCACGCAAACGTCATAGGCCAATCCACATATATAGATATCGGTGGCGCCTTTTTCCTGCAGCTGCGACGACAGCGTGGTCTCGGTGAGCTTCTTATTGTCCCAAAACACCGAATACGAATCGACTTCTGGATTCGTACCCTTGTAGATCTTGATCGCTTTGTCGACGATCTTCAGGTCCTTATGGAGTTCGGCACCCCAGGAATCCTGTACGCAATGACGAGGCCACAGGCGTTGCTTCAGCAACGGTGGTCCTTGAAACGTTACTGTGTCGTATACCCGCGCCGCTTCCTTCGAGATATTGCTGCTGATGTCTACCTCTCTGCGATAACGACATGCTAATAAATATCAACATGCAAAGATTTTCTTTCCGCTACTTTTTCTTTCTTTACAATTGCCTGCTTCGTACTTTTTATATCAATAAATAAAAGTTTTGATACTTTAATAAAAATAGAGCAGTCGAACATATAAAATTTAATGTTACAAGATTTAAGCTTGTATAGATACATCTTAAGTAAAGATATAATAGACATTACATTTTACATTTTGCAATATGTTGAGATATAATTACCTCAAGTGCAAATTATCAATGAAGGATACATGGTCCACGGGATGCCAGTCCAGGGAATAAAACACCGCATCGAACGGTACAGTTTCCAACAATCGGTTAATTGGGTCGATTACTTCCGAACCATCATGTTGCGCGGCGCAATGCTTTATGTTTAAGGAACCTGTTATAAAATCATTTTGCACGTCCACAATTAGGAAAGCGCTTTTGGGACGCGTGCATACTTTGATCCATCGGTTCCAGCAGACCTACAAGTTGGACCAATAGAAACAATCTTATACAAGTACATATATAAGTATTAAGGCCCAGTTTCACAACTGACGGTTAACTTTTAACCGAGGTTCAACTTATTCATTATCTCTTTTCAATTCTAGAATTGGAAAAAAATGAGAAATAAGTTGAACCTCGGTTAAGAGTTAACCGTGAACTGTGAAACTGGGCCTAAGAAAATCATTGTAAAGTTTTGAATACATCAATTCAGATATTTATTAACACTTTTGGTAACTAAATAATTTAAAAAAGAAAACAAAATACTTAAATATAAAATTGATTGCGTTAATATCATTATATGTATAGACATTCTATTATCTTCCCAGATAAGAGAGCAAGAAAAAAATTGTTAGAAAAATATAATATACTTTTTATTAAAAAAAAATTTTAAACTTTAATTATTTTTTCTATATTTTATATCTTAAGCTCTCTCTTAAAATGAGTTATTAATATTAAAATAAGTTGATTAATAACATAATGAGCATCCTTTATATACCTCGAACTCTTCCCTGTCGATCAGGCCGTCGCCTTTGAGATCAAAGATTGAATACACCTCGCGCAGTTGATCCTCCTCGAGGCCGTAAATCTTGCCGCGGTCATTTCGAAACAATGCGCGGCATATGAGATCAAATTCGGAAATAGACAGGAATCCGTCGCCGTCTTTATCGAAGGCGTTGAAACACGCGTCCATGTCTCTCGACGCTACTTGCCGACTACTTGTTTCCAAGTTCCACTTGTTTAATCAATACTCAGATTAGCGTCTGTCCGATCACTTTACACCTGGACCGCTCAGACAAATATAGATCTATCGATGGAAATACTGCAGTATTTTATATATAATACTTATCGCTGTTATCTGCAATATGTTATAATCTAACCACTCGATTCTCTCGAAGAGAAACAAGTATTCCACAAGTCATCCACTTTTATCGTCAAATCAATTTATTATCAAATGGATCGGTGTATTACAATATTACACAAAAAATTGTTTTATTTATCATGTCTTTTACATTTCAAGATTGTAAAAATGAGAAGATTAATTTCATTCCTTTACTATAGTTTTAGACCTCTATCTCATAATTATACCATTCTGCATTACATATCATTATTTCATTTGAGATGTGATATTACGTAGACAGCGCGAGTCTCTGATGCGTTAACAGCGACACATCGATCATCGCTTCGGAATGCAACAACTCGTGTGCGTCGTACTTAGAGGATTCTTCGTAAGCATACGTCACGGAGGTATCGGATAATAACATGTTGCATTGCGCCAGGATCAAAATACAATTACGTAACCGTGTGCAAACATTGCGATTTTCCATTGGAATTTTCGACAGATCCTCTGTGAAACCACCCTCGGATTTATCAACATTTTGAATGTTTGCACTGATCCATACATAGCCGTTGTAACCGAGTATCAAAGTGGCTCCGCTCTCTAGAGTGTGATAATGTGTCTTCTTGCGTTGAATTAACATCGGCGGTACCTTTAACATTATCCCCTGCGACAGTTTGCCATACTTTAATACTCGCGTATGTAGGGAGAGTGAGCCATCTGCGAAGATTGATTGCACTTCTGCACAAATCAGGTCTCCCTCCTGCAAATATCTGCGCATCGTCTGTTCATCTTCAACGGATCTTCTTCTCTGCAAGTTTAAAGAGTATTCAAATACATACTTATTTTGACACTAGTATTTATTAAATAAAAGTTTTACAAAAAAAACTTAATTACAAGATTAATAATTCTATTATTATTTAATAATTCTGAAATATATTTTGGTTAAACAATATTAATCTACATTAAATAATAATAATAATAATAATAATAGTAAAATTATTTTATTCAAAGTAAAAGAACCATCAATTTATTATATTAATATCCAATAAAAATAATGTAATAAGCCAAAACCGAGCATATATAAGAATAAGAAGTTATTATAAATTAAAGAAAATAATAATTACATATGTAGTTTTTTTTTCTAAATTCTAAATAGATTCTAAGGTCGGTATTCATATTCAGTTCTTATATTCAATATTCATAGTCAATTCTTATATCAAGACCATTTTAAGTTCAGTTTTGAGATGTCACGAATCAATCAGAAAGCCACATTAACATCTTAAGACATTACTTAAGATGGTCTTAAAATAAAAATCAACTATGAATACCAGCCTAAGACTAACTTAAACATCATAAAAAAGTTTAAATCTCAAGGCTTAAATTTCAAATTTTTATACAAATGTTTAAAAAATAGAAGTGTTTCATTTGTACATATATCTTACCAATTCACCACCAGGTAAATTAACACTGGACAACAACAGGACAGCATCAAGCTTAGCATTTATATCAACTTTCCAACGCTTCTGTTGTACTTCCGTTATCCTTCCTACGACAAGATCTCCGATCTCTCCATTATAACGTGCCTTCAAAGGCCTAATCGATATAAGTTTGTTCACCTTTTCCAAGATCCCAGCGACTGATGCACGCAACGTTTTCTCATCATCAACGTAAGTTCCATGGCCTCTAATTAAATCAGTTTCAACCAATCAGTTATAATCACATAGTTTCGCAATCCTATATTGCGTAAAATCAAAGCAGCCAACTATCTACCTCAGAAAATCCGGTTGACTGGATATCTCCTCGCCGGGAGTGTAGAGCCGTGGCTGGATGCCATCATTCGTTATTAAATTGAAGTCTACCCTGTTTACCGCCAGACGTACATTAATGGGCGGATATTGAGCCATAATACAATAATATTGACAAAATTCAATTGCCCGATTGCTCTCACCTTCCAACTTCTAACGGCTTAATTTTTTTTTTTATTAAGCGTCACCGGGTCGTGAATGCCGTTGAACTATCAATAGATTGATGGGATTGACGACATACTCCATTTTAAAAGAGTGCCACATGGTGCCACTCTTGAGTCATGAGTGCCACATCACCAATTTTAATATACAATTTTCTCATTGGTGATACAATTGGTACAGTGGAAAATTTCTAGGCAACCATCGATGTGAATGGATGAGTGCATTCAGGCTGTTCCAAATTTACTGCCAGCACTGAAAATGCTACAGTTTACGTTATGTGCACTATAGATTTTCAGTTTTGGCAGTCAATTTTGGAACACAGCCTCAGTAAGCTCTATAGTCTCTATACAATACACACTGGATTATCTATCTCGCTTTATCTTTATATTTATTGTCTATTATGTTTGTAAAATCCTAAAGATGTTTATCTATGTTTAAGGTGCAGCCACAATAGAAGGAATAAGGAATTAGAAATAAGGAATAAATATTTCAACCTATCAGATATCGGATACATCGGAATACATGGTTTCTGATAGGTTGGAATCCTTATTCTTTATTCCTAATTCCTTATTCCTTCTATTGTGGCCGCACCATTACACCGTGCATTTAGGCTGCGGCCTATACAATAGGTCCTTGTTTATCCTGTAAGTTAAATAAAAACACCTGTCGTATAGGTCGCGGACTGTCGCGGACTAAGCGCATGTAAACATAGGTACTGTAGAATCAGTATTATGGATAATACAACAGAAAATGCAGAAGATTTGGATGATGAATGTCCAACAAAACAAGCTAAAAATATGTCTTTTCAGAGTAAGTTATCGACTTCAGAGTCAGTTTATCGACAGATTTGAATCGAATTTTCATGTAGATTGTATTAATTTGCATTTACGTTAAGCTCATGTTCTGTCAGTAGAGTCTATTGATAATCTGATAGCAAATTACCAGTAGAGAAACCAAACAAAACTTATATATAATTTTATAATGAAATATTTAATAAGTTACTAAATGATGAATTCTGGTTGGTTTCTATAGTTAATTTGCGATCACATATATCCATACATTCTGTTGTATCTCTACTGGCATCTATGAGCAAAATGTATGAGCAGACTAATTTACAAGACCTATTTTTAATAGTTTTAATTATTTAGAATATTATAATACAATTAAAAATTTTATTTGTATATATCTTATAACTTGGATTTCTTTTTTTCAGCTGCTTTTAGCAACTTGAAGAAATCTGAGTTTTTCACAGATTTGCCAGCTTCTAAGCCTGAAACTTCCACGGCAATATCTTCAAGTAGAACCAGCACTGTCCTTGTCAGTCCAAAGCAAGTAATATTGTTTTCTTATATTTTATAAAATATAGTATAAAAATTTTTAAGAGTAAATATATTTTGCAAACTGTATTAAAACCAAAGTTAATAATATATTTTTATAGAAAGTAAGTTTGTCATTAAAATTTAAAACATTGTTATATTAAAACTTAATTAAATTTTAAAAATGTATAATATCTTTTCTTTCTCTCCAGAAAGGCAATCCGTTACTAAAGTTTATAACAAATGTATTATGGGAATATTCCAACATTGTGCCAGATTACGTAATGGGAAAAACTACATGTGCTCTTTTCTTATCAATTCGTTATCACCAATTAAATCCTGATTATATTCATGAAAGACTTAAGTTATTGGGCAATGCATATAACTTACGAGTGCTTTTAGTACAGGTATATAACTGCAATTTATATATTTGTTTTATAAAAATAAAATTGACTATTAATATAATTCTTTAAACAACATTAATTATGATTAGACATAATTATATTATTTATTTCTATTATATGCATTCATAATTTATAATTAAGTTTTGTATAAATTAGAAATTTTGTAGTTTCTTGTATCTATATTAAAATTTTTTATTCTCAATTAGATCGATGTCCCCGAGCCTCATCACGCTTTGAAACATTTAACAAGAATTTCCATTTTGGCAGACTTGACAATAATGTTAGCATGGAATGCAGAGGATGCAGGAAAAATTATTGAAACTTATAAAATGTATGAAAGCAAACCCCCTGATAATATCATGGAACGCAGCGAAACAGCGCCTTATCAAAAAGTAATTAGCTACTAAAAAATATATATAGATATATTTTTAAAATGTATATATTTTATATATATGTATATATGAGAGAAATATTTATATAATAAATATTCGTTACAGTTGGTTAATGCCTTAACGACAGTAAGATCTGTCAACAAAACCGATGCAACAACTCTTCTAACAACTTTCGGCACATTAGCCAGTATTGTAAGAGCACAACCCAACACTTTAACCTTATGCCCTGGATTTGGTCTACATAAAGCTCAAAAACTTCATAAGGTTTTGCACGAATCTTTTCTATGCACACCAAAACTCTCTACAAAAGAATAAAATTTTCCAGTATATGTATATTGAATGTTTTACAATTATTGCGCTATAATAAAATAATTAGATAAAGTCACAACGTATACACACAACCAAAGTTTATACATACGAGTAATTTATAAAAAATAAAATTTTTTAAATAAATATTATAAATGATTTATGATATGTGCAATGACTAATGAATTTTTTAATTTTAAATAAAACATGAAAATTATAAAATATTAAAGATATGATTTATAAATAACTTTAATCTGTGCAATATCTCGTATCCATATTTAACTTTGTTAATTTTATGTATAGCAGCTTCCCAGATAGTGAAGCGTGTCTTGCACAAATTTGTGATTGCTTATGATGCTGACAACTTGTGTTAAATTTATCTTCAATGATTTTGAATATACCGATATTGTAGCAACATACAGACAACAATGTGTATATGTATTCCCAGCAGTTTAACAGCAAGATAGCTGCGTCAATGTTATCTTGCGTTGTCGGCAAAATGATAGCATTGTATAATACTGCATTATTACGGCAACAGTACGAATTTTGATGACAATTTTAAAGTTGTTGGCAAATTGTTGGCAAGTTGCTACTCAATGTTATTATATTATAAAGGCATCAAGTTGCCAAGAGATGAGGACTCAATTGCTGCAATTTTGGTAGCAACGTATACTTGGCAAGCAACGTGCTAGCAACCACTAGCAACAAGATAGACACGTTACTATCTGATGGGTTTTAGTATGTATTAATTTAATAATACAGGTGACTAAATTCGCGCTAACTGTTTCTACTTGTGGATTCAACGAGTTACGTTAAAAAAAAAAAGAAAAATAAGTTTAAAAAGTTCAGTTATAAAGAACAAATGTATAGGAGTTATGGCTCGTATTCTGAATGTCGATCGATGCCGATTGCCAAAGTACTTGCCATGCGACAAAGAAAGCGGTAGCCAATGAACGTACAGCTAAGAAAAAACGATATAT